AGCCTAGGTGGAGCTATAATGTATATTGTATATTCCTAAAAAAAAATTATTTTTTTTTCAGCGAATTTTTATAAAAAGCTGCGATTTTTTCTTAAAAAATGTCAAAAAAAAAGTTTTGTGATCTCTAGGTATTTTTTTTTATGCATTTTTAGGGTTTTTTTGTTTTTCAAATAACCTTTCCCATATATATATATATATATATATATATATATATATATATATATATATATATATATATATATATATATATATATATATATATATATATATATATATATATATATAACCGAATTGGCCAATCAATAGCATGGAGTATATATAGTTGCATGACTCTGTAGCCCAATATATCCAATCGTTTTTTATTCTACTTGGCCCATACCAAAACCAATAATGGAAAGCAATTAACTCCATGCATGTTAGCCAACTCCAATTGCTCAGGAGGAATGACTGATAAACTAAATTGCTTCTTTGCCATTGAACAACATTGATCAGATTGATTGATGGATATATGGATGCATCAATTATATAAGAATAGATGGATCAGCTAGATGGTTAGATGGATCGTCTCTAGGTAGGATGTCAATATATTACACTAACATGATATGAAATTGGGACGGAATTTTTTTTGAATTTGTGTTCGTATGATGTGTAAAAGCTTAATGTCGTGTTTATATTTAGAGATCAACATGATATTAACATGTGTTTGTTGTGTTTTGTATTATGAATTATAAATTAAATAAACTAAAAGTTTGTCTTATTTTATCTTTTTCATGTTTGTTGTATTGATTGTTTTTATCGTGTTTTAATTTTGATGGTTTGCATGTTAATAAAGCAAAGACAAAATTACATAAATGGTCCTCACGGTTGACTAAATCGACCAATCATGGTCCTTATGACGAATTCTTTACACAAATGGTCCCTGTGTTTTCAAAATCTTGCAAAGATGGTCCTTTCGACTAACGGCGTTAACTTTTTCAGTTAAGTCCTATGTGAAATGACATATTTGCCCTTCATGCATAAGGACGCTTTATGTAATATGTTTCTACCATAGGGTTCATTTATGTAATTTTCTCTATTATGTATTATTATTTTTTATTTTTTTTAATTATATATTTAAGGATTTAGATTTGTTTAAATTTATTTTTTAATATATATATATATATATATATATATATATATATATATATATATATGCTAACATTTTTTAACGTTTTGCTCAAATTATTTTTTCTAATCTTTTTGACATTTTATTCAAGTAAATTTATTGATGTTTTTTATTTTGACGTTTCATTCGAATATTATTTATTTATTTATTTATTTATTTATTTATTTGACGTTATGTTCGAATACATTTTTCAACTATATAACGTTGTATAATTATTATTTTTGTAAACTAATTTATTAACATTTTTTTATAAAAAAAAGTGTAAAATGTATGTTAAACGTAAATATGATTAATATTAGATTAGGTAGACATAGGCTAAGCTGAGACCGCCTCACAACATTGCCGAGAACGACCAGGTCATTTCACATTAGATTTAAATGTAATTATTTCGAGTTTTTTTTTTTTTTAGCAGTGTTGTAAAAGATCACAACGCAAGAGTCTCTAATCGGTCAGGTAGTGCTTAGGGATTAATCTGAGATTAAACGGGACCTAATTGTGATTTTTTACAACACTACTAAAAACAAAAAAATAAAATAACTCGAAATAATTACATTTAAATTCAATGTGAAATGACTCGGTCATTCTCGGCAACGTTATGAAGCGGTCTCAACGTAGCCTATGTCTACCTAATCTATATTAATCATATTCACGTTTAACAAACATTTTACACTCTTTTATAAAAAATGTTAATAAATTAGTTTACAAAAATAATAATTATACAACCTTATATAGTTAAATATTTGAATTAAAAAGTAATAATTATATAACCTGATAAAAGAAAAAAAAAATGAAAACATAATTGAAAGTGAATTAAGTTACGAATTATAATTACAATAACCGTGAAATCCTTTAACAAATATAAACATACTATATGTTGAAAAATGTATTCGAACATAAAGTCAAATAAATAAATAAATAAATAAATAATATTCGAATAAAACGTCAAAATAAAAAATATTAATAAATTTACTTGAAGAAAATATTTGAAAAAATAATTTGAGCAAAACGTTAAAAAATGTTATATATATATATATATATATATATATATATATATATATATATATATATATATATATATATATATATATATATATATAGGGAAAAGTGAATATACCATTAAGGGTATATAAGCTTAGGTACCCAAACCTATTATCATATATCATTTTGTTTAATATATTAATTATAATGTTCTTAAACTTCAACCCTTAACTTGATTTATTTTCAAAATTTTCGAAATTTCATTATTATCTTCCTCTTAAATCACATCTTTTTGCCGAACACCTACTAGGCTATATATATTATAGTTGAAAATGAAAATTATGTAAGAGGAATATAAATGTGAAATTGATAAAAATCTTGGAAGTAAATCAAGTTAGAAGTTGAATTATAAGAACATCGGACAATTACAATGTATATATATGATACAAAATGATGTAGTATAGTGACTTTGGGTACCTAAGCTTATATACCCTTAAGGGTATATTCACTTTTCTCATATATATATATATATATATATATATATATATATATATATATATATATATATATATATTAAACAATAAATTTAAAAAAATCTAAATAGTTAAATATATAATTAAAAAAATAAAAATAATAATAAATAATAGAGAAAATTACATAAATGGTCCATGTGGTAGAAACATATTACATAAAGCATCCTTATGCATGAAGGGCAAATAAGTCATTTCACATAGGACTTAACTGAAAAAGTTAACGCCGTTAGTCAAAATGACCGTTTTTGCAAGATTTTGAAACCACAAGGACCATCTGTGTAAAGAAATTGTCATAAGGACCATAATTGGTCGATTTTTTCAACCATGAGGACCATTTATGTAATTTTGTCTAAAGCAAAACACAACATGGTGCCATGTTTCTTTAATATAATCTCTTTTCATGTTGGCTAAAAACGCAAGATTTACCACCCCTAATTGTGTGAATGTATGGATCAAGTTTTGATTGAAGAATTTATGGATCTATTCGATGAATTTGCTAGATTGATGATTTGATCGAACACGCAGATACATCCAAAGGGTTGATGAATCATACACTACAAATCATTCAATAAAACTACAACTAACATTCATATAGTAACCGTCCACAAAACTATCCATGGCAAATATTGCTTGAAACACATTTTTCATACCACTCTACAACACTTTGCATAGCAAACATTTGAAATGACAAAAGTGTCCCCATCATAATGTAATTAAAAAAAAAAAACTAATCGATTGCGTTCCTAATTGGAAACTTTTTCATCAAGAACATGCAAACACTCGTATATGATCTCAACCGCACGATCAAGTTCATCCTCAGAGATGATCAACGGTGGCACGAGTCTAACAACATCTCCTTTGCCAGCTGTCAATATCAAAAGACCCGACTCACGACACGCATCAACAAGCTTTGAGGCAGAAACATCCAACTCAATCCCAACAATAAGACCAAACCCTCGTATCTCTTTCACATGACTATTTCCTCCGACTTTTTCCTCCAGTATTTCTTTCAAGTAATTTCCTTTTTTTATAACACTCCCCAAAAACCTCGGGTCCGATATTTTATCAAACACAGCAATTGCAGCAGCACACACGAGGGGCCCACCTGCAAACGTGCTTCCGTGGTCCCCATTGTTGATGGCAGAATTTACTTTTTCAGTCACAAGTGTAGCTCCTATTGGTAAACCTCCAGCTAGAGGCTTCGCAAGAGTCATTATATCCGGGGTTACACCATAAGCTTCGTGTGCCCACAGATACCCAGTTCGCCCCAACCCACATTGAACCTGAATTTAACAAATTATTTTTTATTGTTATCCAAATTACCAAAACTAAAATACTTATTATAGCATTAATGAGTTAGGATGTTATTTATTACCTCATCATAAACAAGTAAAGATCCAGATTTGTCACAAGCAACACGCAAAGCTTGCAAGAAATCTTTTGTAGCACTGTAAATTCCACCTTCCCCTTGAATAGGTTCAACAAATACAGCAGCAATTTTGCCACTGGAGATTAGTTCTTGAGCAGCTTTAATGTCTCCATAGTTTAAGAAAGTTACACCAGGCATCACAGGCTCAAAAGGTGTTCTGTAATGCTCCTTGCTAGTCAAAGCAAGCGAACCAATTGTCCTTCCATGGAAGCTGTTACTGAATGAGATGAATTCAGTAGCTGGATCTGTTTTGTTAGGATGTGAAAATCTTTGAAACTTTCTTGCAAATTTTATGGCAGCTTCGTTTGCTTCTGTTCCTGAGTTGCTGAAAAAAACTCGATCTGCAAATGAACTTGCTACAAGACGTTCAGCAAGATTCACCTGTGATTAAAAATGCAATTAATTTCTGTTTTTGAATCAAATAGAAAAGTATATATGGAATCGAACCTGAGGAAGGGAGTAATAGATATTGCTAACGTGGGCAAGTAGGTTAGCTTGATCGGTGACAGCTTTGACCCAATCGGGATCTCCATGGCCTAAAGCATTAACAGCGATACCTGAGGTTAGGTCGAGATACTCTCGACCTTCAATATCATACAATTTACACCCTTTGCCACTTGTAAGCACTAGAGGAGCTCTGCCATATGTGCCGACTATCACTTCTTTTTCAGCCTTCATCACCTCATCTTTGCTAATCGGTTTTGCTGCTACTGGTATGGTGTCCGTTAGTTGTGCTCGAACCTCGGTTATACGAGAATTTGAGAGATGAATCGAGCTTCTAGCAAATGCAAATTGGGGCTTCACATTGGGAAAACAATGGTGGCGATGATCGATTGTAGGAAAATTGGGGTTGCTCAAATTGAAAACCGAACTCATCGGGATGGATTGTGTATGATCAAAGAACGATGTCCGCCGCCTTCAAAAACAGGGCAAAAAAACTGCTTATATGATAACTACCAGTTTTTTTAAAACAAATTATGATTATCCCAAGCTTGACAATAACAGAATTGAACAGAAAAAGTGGGTGCTACTGTTACAGGTTTAACGTATAAACCTAGGTTCAATTGCTAATTGAAGCACAAAAACATACACAATTAGACATTTTAGATCAAACAGACCAATATTCATTCAAAATCAAATACCATTTCACATTCAAAGCTAAACTAATTTCATTACAAATGTTTCGATTTTAAAGCTCTTTTATGAGTTATGCATCAATTGACATAAATTCAGTGAACCAAAATAAGCAAATTGATAAGAATGGAATAAAGATAGGTTCAATACCACAGATAAGAAAGGGAATATCATAAAGCAGGTAAAAGAAGGAAGACCGATAGCAGGAAGAAAAAATATGAATGGAACCCAGGGAAAAATGGACGAAAAACGAACCTGTAGCTGGGAGGTCGAAGGTCTCCGGTGTACCTGTGGGGTGCGACGGTCTCCGGCCGGTGGTGGCTTCACAGGGAGGCGATGGCTAATGGCGGCGAGCAGGGAGGACTCGTAGCTTGAGGAGCCAACGATAGGCGTCTGTGAAATGTGTCGCTGTACAATATGTGTATAAGGTTTTATTAGGGTAAGGGTATCTTGATAGATTCCTAAAATAAGGTGTTTTTCACAAGGGCGTCCAAGGTAAATCGTTACTAATTTTGGAAAGTTACAAATTTCTTTTAAAAAAAAGGAGGATTTGAGAAGAAATCGAGAGGAAGGAAATTTTGAAGTTATTTTTTATTTTATTTTTTTATCAAACTCCTAAACACGGTAACTTAAAATTTTTCTTTTACTTATTTTCATTTCCGGAAACACGAATAATAAATATTTTTCTTTCCATTCCTTTCTTTCTATCAAAATTTTCCAATTCTCTTTTCTTTATTGAATTTACAGAAACTTATACCCTGAAAATAAATTAAAAAACTAGTTTTTTAAGTTCGGCCAAATACCCTATTTATTACATAACTGATAACTGATCTAAAATTATTGTTCTAACCCCATTTTTGTGATCAAGTTGTTTCCATCTTAATTTTTTAATTACCTTATCAAATTAAACAACCAATTAAATTAACATTGGTTTGGGTTTAAACGAATAAAAGGGGTTGGAAAGTTGAAACAATCAATTAACATTGATTTGGGTCCAATTACTCATTTTTGTTTTTCATCAACCCAAGTTTCTTTAATGTTTTCTAAACCATCATCGACTATCTCACGTTTTTTATATCACATGTTTTAAGAGCAAAACCTTTTCACAAACCGTAAAGCTAACTCATTTGTAACACAAACTACTGAGGTAAAATAATAAAAAATATTATAAAAAATCATAACCTTGTAAATTCACAATCATCAACAAATAACATATACTAGTATAAAAGTAACATCGACACAAAGTCATTATTTACAACATAACAACACTTTCAGGGAACTATCAAATTCAAATTTCAACATTCCATAATAGTCAATACATCCATGACAAATCCTGCTTAAAAGACACATATTTAGCAGCTCCTTCCACACCTCTTAAAGACACCTGAGGACAATCATTGACAACAAGAACTTCCAATTTCCCCAATCCAACAATCCTTTTAAACCCATCATCCGTAACCCCCAAACACTTTGTCAACCTCAACACCCGCAAATTCCCATATCTACCCACAAATTCAATCCCTTCATCACTTATCTCTTGACACCTCACAAGTTCTAAAATCTCAAGATTCTCAGCAAAACAAAGCGCTTTCATCCCAACATTGTTGAACGAATAAACCCGATCAAGAACAAGCTCTTTCACACAACACATTTTGACCAAATTCAAAATCCCATTCTGAGAAAACGAGGATAAAGAAGGAAACTCACCATCTGAAAACGATAAGGCCACAAATTCAAGCAGTTTACAGTTTTCAGCTATGGCTTTCAAGCTTCCGTCTGTGAGGCGTAGCGGGTTTTCCATTATTGAAAAATCAGACGGGACCCGGATCGAAATACCCCGCAGATTTTTCGAATTTTCCGCGAGCCTGATGATGTCATCATCTCTCACACCTACACATATGTCTAAATGGATCTTCTCCAAGTTTTTGCATTTATCCAATATACAAGCTAAACCTCTCCCCGGGCTGATTATACAATTGACTAATTTAATCTCCACCATGTTATCGCATGGGACCCACTGGGTGTGCCACCTGTCAACTGCTAACCGGTCGTAAAGCTTCATGTACCTGTAATTGGCATCGACTTCGAAGCGTAACCGTTTTATGTTGCCCCAGGTGGGCCCGAGCTTGATAAGAGCGCCTTCACCGATCCCGCGACAGTTTTTGATGGAAAGATCTTCGAGGGTTTTGAGTTTTCCGAGACACTCGAGCCATTCGAGATTGGTGACGTTTAAACAGCGGATTAAATGAAGGGTTTTGAGGTTTTTGGAGGTTACTATGATTGAGAAGATGCCACATCCGGTGATTCTTGGAGTGAAGTTTAGTTTTAGAGATGAAAGTTTTGAGCATGATGATATGTAGCTGAGGCCGGTGTCGGTGATGAAGGTGCAGTAACTTAGGGTTAGATCGGTTAAAAGAGGGCAGGTTTTGGAGAGGATGGAGAGGCCTTGGTCTTCTAGTTGTTTGCCTAAATTTGAAATCCAACCTGAGTATGTGATTTCGATTTTGTTTAGGTTTGGGAATCTGTGGCATAGAGAGGTTAGAGCATTGATTGCTGGGTTTAATCCACAGCCAATCCGGATGTAGTTTCTTTGTTCGTTATCAAGAGTATGGAAGCGTTTGCAGGTTAATGATATGGAGTTTCGGTCTTTCGTGTTTTTGATTCTGTTGAAAATCTCCCAAACTAACTGATCTGGGAGATTATCGATTGAAACCATGTTTTTGTTTATTGTAAAACCTGGGAGAAGAGAAAATGATAATTCAGAAAGCATACAGGCTTCTAACTTCTAAACAATTAAAATCACAGAGCTGAAATATCAGTTTTGTTATCGGAATTAGCTTTTGGATATCTGATGATCAAAAAGAAAACTGGAAACGCCGGTAAATGGCACTATCGATCTCAAAAACAAACTCTACGTTCAATTACGGTAGGCAGATTGAATTCATATCGGTAATCTATTTTAACTATAATCGCTTAAAGAATTAATGAATTCTCATTCAAGTTCATAATTATTATCATCGGAGGAAAACAGTATTTAAAGAAAAATCAATAAGGTTAGGGAAGGATGAATGCAAAATTGAAGGTGACTGGATAAGCAGATGGAGGATTGAGATGTACCTTACCTTAGAAGAAGAAGGATGAGACTGAATCGAGTTTCAGACGATTGTAAATGATGATACCCTTGGTGTTGGATACTTTTGTTAGATTCATGGAATATCTATCTGGGTGGAATTCAGTTTGCATTTGCCCTAAACGTACATGAGGAACTCGGTATTCATCTTGCGTGTTGGTATTCCTTATGATTTGATTCGACACAAACACATGATATCTTTTTCCACTTTTTACAACATTTGAGCCAAAAAATCAATAGAAACATTTTAATTCATTTTTTTATTTTAAATTTCAAATTGAGTTCCGTTCCAATCTGTCATCAAGGATAATTACGTAACTTCCTCCTCTCTTTTACTAACATTCACAATATTCATCTTCTTCCTATTTCCTCTCGACAATTATAAAGAAAAATTCATCAAGCAACGAGGCTATGTCGATAATTCATCAAGGTTATCTTTCATTCATCATTCACTTCAAACTCTAATCTCATGTGCATCATTCTATACGAAATTCACTTTACATATCAACAAAGAATACAATAAAATGATGCCATTAAAAAAAAAAAAAAAAACAAATTATTCGGTTCATGCTGATCATTGTACATCCACTGTATTCGTTTCTTCAAGAGATACCATCAGCCCCTGAAGCTGCATAATCAAAAATAATAAAATAAAAATATCAAAATACAAATTTATTTTCAACAGGTGAGGTGGCACTGTTGACTTATACCTGGGCCTCCAGTTCTTGTATCTTGTCATCTTTCACCCTCAAAGCCTCCTTCTCCCTACCCAAGTCACAACATTTTTTAATTTTTTCTTTCCCAACAAAATACTATTTAAATTTTTCCAAACATACCTTTCTTCAATTTTAGCTATTATGCTTTCCCACGTCACCTTGTTTCTCAAAAGATTTTCATTCATCTACAACAAACATCAACACACTATTACTTCTTCTACTTCATTCTGTAAGAAAAACCAATTACATACTACATACATCATCTAGAAACTTCTTCTCTTTAAGACCTTTATCCAGCTTCGCTTGCATCTTTTGCAATTTCGTATTCTGCTTCATAAAATCTCTTACAGCACCTGAAATCTCCCTCTCATTTTCTTCTTCAAATTCCTGGAGTAATGATTCATAGTACTTCCAATCCCATCCAAACATTCAAATTCAAAACATCAATACAAAACTCAAACAAAACATTAAATGATTTAAATCCAATCAGTGATGACCTCACCAGCTTTTGGTTTTCAAGTTGAGTAGTCAGCAGCTCATTATACTCACTAACAATCTGTAAACAAAACAAGAGTCAAATTTTCCCATTTGTTAACAAATGCTTAAAGTGAAGAGAAAAAAAATATATATATACAGATTCAACTCGACTGTTTAAAAGAGCTTCACTAAATGCAGGATCAGTGTCACATCCACAATCACCATCAGTATGTTGATGATGATGATTCAACTCAACCAATTTTCCATCTGTTTTCGATTGGATTAAACGATGAACATAATTATCTCCAACGTAATCCCACACACGTTGTGTTTCCAGTTCTTGAGAGTAGCAATGTTGTGTTTGTTTCCAGTGTTCGATTGCATGCCCTTCTTTATACCTCCCACACCCAACAAACCCACACAGAAGACATATCCACACATTTTCTGATGTTTGACAAATCAAACATTTTGACTTTTCAGGCTGCTGTTGACAATATCGACATACCTACAGCAAACATTAATACCATTGAAAACTAAAATCAAATAGTCAATAATATGTTTTGTAAAGAATAATTTACTTACAGGGCATGAAGAATCAGTCCATTTTGAAATACAAGAACAATGGAATGAATGGTTGCAGATTGTTGTTAGAATCCCACTCATATCTTGATCCAATCTCTCTATAAAAAGAAAATTAGTTCAATCTCTTTAAAATCATACACAAAAAACCAGGTGATATTTTGTATATAATATATAAATTACCAAGACAGACTGGACATGAGGGTTGCTCTGTATTTGCAGGGGAAGTCTGTGTGTGTTCAATTGAGCTTGTGTATTGCACATCAACAGTGAAAAGCACACGACATGATTCTGTCTGTATAAAGAAACCAGAATTTACAGAAATTAGAATAACTATTTTTTATTTGCATTGCATGATATATGCTTAGAATACATAACTATGGTGATTGAAGAAGGAGAACCTCCAAAGATGAGAAACGCCTTCCATTAAAATGTTTGTGAAATGAATCTGTTGAGCTTTGATCATCAAATCTTACTAAGATACTATACCGGTTTTCCATTCCATCATTCCTGACAATGCGCATTTCCATGATGTGATGAATAAAGGAACCACAAAACTGACAAAAGTCTGCATATGTCATGTGATTTGGCACCCCAAGAACACAAATAAGAGGAATTCTTCCAACCTAAATGCCATCATGGAAATCAAAAGTCTGATCACTAATAATGATTTGAAAAAAGAGGAAATATGTATGTTTCTAGTGCTAATGAGGAGGGTTGGAAGTCAAGTAGTTTTGACTCTGTATTGTTGTCGTATCTAGTTTCTTTCCCTAAAGATGCATGTCATAAACCTTGACATATTTGTAATTCTGTCTGCATTCTCAATTGTCAAGTAAAATTAGCACACATGTTCAAGGATCTTCATCTTTGGTTGTCGGACAAGAAGATTCTTTAGTACCTCAATTACTTTAACATAAACAGATTTAATCACCAACAAATTGAAAGGTAACTTGATTCATCCGTCATTCCTTAACAATTAATGAACTGATTGTCAATCATTCATACCAAGCAGGAACTAAATAGAATCAATCGATAAACAACCGTATAAAACCCTAATCATTTGAGGGTAAGAAAAATAGACCATATGTGTGTAGAAGATAGTGGAACGCATGAGAATTATAAAACTTACAGGTAAATTGGAAGAGGAAGAAGCGGCATCGTCCAGAAAGAGATGCATGACGCCTCTCGTCTGTTCGATTCTAGGGTTTCCTGAAGAGAATGGAAATGCCTGGGTTACGTATGCACTGGAAGAGGAGGTGGATGAGTCGCCAATATCTGTGATCGGAAGTTTCATGATGGATGACGGCCGGAAGTAATCCTCGGCGCCGGCTATTGTAGAATTCGCGGCCGCGCTTACTGAAATCGCTTCGGACATTTTATTACTGTTCATAGTTCATACACCCTTGATAGAATCAAAAAGGTCAAATTCAATTACTATTTCAAATTAATAAGCTCTACTAATAAGTAATCTCTTGATCCTAGTATTTTTAGAATACGACCGAGTTCATCATTTCAACCCGTTACTGTTATACAACCATACGTTTTACAGTAGGCCTAAATCATACAACAAGCTTGACTAGAAATCAGAAATCAAAGACATCGAGACTCCATAGAATCAGATATTACCTGAGATAATGGTAGCAGGCAGCGGGTTGTCGGTGGGTTGACGGTGAGAAATCTCAGAGGTGGAAGTTGCCGATGGAAGCAGGGATGGCAGTGGGACGGAATGAGACGGATATCGGCGATTGTTTTTTTGTTTTCAAAAGCTAAACTCTTGCTTGCGGTTGTACTCTTCTATTTCCTTTTTTTTTATTCAATATACCTTTTTTTTTTTTTTTTTTTTTTTTTTTTTTTTTGGTATTCGTTTGTGTTTACCATAACCTTTTTGATCAGTTTTTGATCTGTGATAGTCGGTCAAAGGGTTATGGTGAACATAAACAACAAGTTCGATGGTATATTGAATATAAAAAAAAGGAAAGGGATCAAATGAGAACAAACTAAACAGTTGGTTACCCTCCTGAGTTATTTCCCTCGAAAAGTTAAATGGAATTAAAGTTGCAAAATTATCAAAGACTGCAACCTTCTTTGGCTATAACGTACATGAAGAGCGTTTCAGAGGGGTAACTTCGTTAAAACATGGTCTATGCTATGCTTATTGTGGTTAGCTGTCAACACCTCTCTTCAAAAGGATATGATTGTGTATGAGAGGCATATTTATCAGCAAAAACGTTTACCTCAAGGTATATTATAGTGATGTGTCTGCAAAAGCAGCATGATATTGTACATATTGATGTTGTATCTCATCCCATGAATTCGATCTTAAAGCTAAGTAAACTTAAAAATCACAACACTTGTGATTCCACTCGTTTGTAGACTTGTCTAGAATCTATGATACGATATATCATTCGATTGGAAATGTAAATGTAGTCATGAAATTCGTCTGCTTAGTCAAGATTCCCCTAATAAATATTCAAGTGCATTACAAAGTTGTACATGTATGAATAGTGTTCTTTCGTGGGTTATGTTTTGAAGAGAATCAATAATGAATCTCATAAAGTCATTAATATCAGTAGGAGTTGACACGAGATTTGTTGTAAATGAGTAAAGGGAAAATGACTCAGGAGGGTAACCAACTGTTGAGTTTGTTCTCATTTGGTCCATTTCCTTTTTTCACTTCTGGTTCTAGGTATTTCGTTTTTTCTCCAACACACTTCTACAATGCTATGAAGTTGATTTCTTTGTTCGCTTCTGGCTATGTATTCTGTTTGTTCATCAGAGTTCCAATTTGATGGAATTCATTTTCATGATGGCTAGATGAAAAATGAAATAGGTGGTATTGAACAAAGCTAAGAGGGTTACTGATGTTTAATTTTTGCTTGATGATGGCACAGGTCGCATAGACTGCAAATAGATGGTATTGCAATTTCCTTATGCTTTGTTGCTTATATTTCTCTCTTATTCTGTGTTTTTTCCAATATAATTTAGGTGGTTGTGATGTTTTACGGTATATGAACCATTACACAAATTGCTTCGATTCAGACTTCCTTTCAAGTTACAAAAGTAAGTACTTCACTCCATATATAATCAAATCATTACATGGTGACATAACAAAAAACATGAAGGTCACTTTGAGCAAAGCAAAACTTCTTAGAAATCCTCAAATCAAGCTTTTTTCAGGCCTTATGGTGTTTTAGATTGTTGTTTTTTCTTTGCTTACAAACAAAAAATTTTGATTTTTATGGCATAAAGACTTTAGAAGAGATAGCTTTGTTATTTGTTTTATGTAACTTACTTTGATGGAAGTTGAAAACAGGGGTAAAAAGAGTAATTATTTACCAGGCCTGATTGAATTTGGGATTTAATGGTTTTGCAGAGGCCATGAAGTTCCTACTTCTTTTCGAAGACATGGACTTATGTTGTGAAAGAATTTCCACTTTTGGGTGAGTATTCATCATTACATTTTCATAGAGGGGATGTTCGTCAGAATGGTGTCATTTATTCTATGAATACCATTCTTTTTACCATTCCATTCCATTCCATTTTCATAAAATTTGCAACATATCATTTCTTGGAAAGATATTTATGTTGCTTAACGGTGTTAATAAAAGTGGTTGTTACTATTTTTAGTTATTATTGGTTATATCTTTCATATTTTATTTATTAATAATGTTCATTTTGTTTTTTCTCTATATATATTTACTTCTACATCATATTACTGTACATGTCAATGATTTGGACACAAAGGGTGTTGAAAGTTTTTTCATCCATCATAAATTAGGTGGTAGCAACAGGAACACACGGGATAAAATAATTGCTTTTGTGTTAAGAGCATCTTTTATTAGACAACCAAGTGAAAGTTCATCATATACCGGTGTGTGCATTAAAAGAGAACTACAAAAAAAAAATGCAAGGATGTGAGTGAGAATTTTGTTGTAATGACAAATCAGGTAAAATATAGTCTGACACATGACTATCTATGATGTATTATAGATTACTGATCAATTTGGTTAAAACATTACCATCATTCATTGTTGCTTAGGATTGGTGGTGTTGGTGATCTGCCCGAGGCCTTAGATTTAGTTATGTTGATACTAATCCCAAGACAACAGTGACAAATACAACAAATTATAACTATACGGTTCTAGATGCCCCTCTTCAATCTACTAAAAATTTCAAGCAACGGTAAAAAAAAAAAAAAAAAAAAAAAAAAAAAAAAACTTCTTGTAGATGCGTTTTCATCAATATAAATTAAAATTACTACTCCATTCTTGATGCTCCTATACTCTGACTTTGTTTACTTAAAATTGTAAAAAATATCAAGTAGTTTTTTATGATATATGGAGTGTAGAGATAGGATGGTCTTTGTCTCTTTGCAATTTTTTCATCAGGTAAGAATAAACATACATTATATATTTATTATTTAATTGCTTATTAATCGTTCATAAACACAAAAAATCATAACTTATGTACCGTTATATTGTTTTTTTTTTCTTTTATGATCTTTATTATTTAGTAGAGTAAATTACTGAAATCGTCTCTATGGTTTGGTCAAAATTACACGTTTGGTTCTTATCTTTTTTTTTTTTTTTTTTTTTTTTTTGCATTTGGATCGTCCTTATGGTTTGATTTTGTGACGTTTTTCGTCCCTTACATACATAAAGTTAAGGACCAAACGTGCAATTTTAACCAAACCATAGGGACGAAAAACGTAATAAAATCAAACCATAGGGACAATCCGAATGCAAAAAAAAAGTTAGGAACCAAACGTGTAATTTTGACCAAACCATAGGGACGATTTCAGTAATTTACTCTATTTAGTATTTACATGTTGTTATTATGGTCATTTAGGTTTTTGGTTCTATTACTAAACCATGTAAAAGTTCTCTAATTTTCTTCTTTTTTGGATATAACAACTTTATTTTTGGTTTTTGGTTCTTGCAAACGGTGTTATTTCAACTTCTTTGAAGATTTGATGGTGTGATTTGGTTCATCAAACGCACCTTAAGAGTCTCATGATAACTTTTTCTTACTTTCACCATTTACCAATTGTAGGTTAATCACATTGTCTTTTTTAACTTATTTTTTTTTTTGTATATTAACTTCACATTTTTTATGATTTTTCAGCCGGAACATGGTTAGGGTGAACAAAAAGGTTTGAAATCTATCTTATGTAATTGAAGATATTTTTTCATTCTAATGTTCATTTTATATTAATATTTACTAGGAAAAGATGCAAATTGCGAAAAAAAGAATATTAGAAATTATGTAGAAAATATCATTCTACTATTAGAAAATGGGATTTCTGCATATTTTCCAAAAAAAAAAAAAGGCAAAAGATTTTTAGAAAATATGCAGAAAATAACATCGTACTTTAGAAAATTGGATTTTTGGCTTATTTTTCAGAAAAAAAAAAAAACAAAAATTTACAAAAAAAAAACATAGAAAATATTTATAAAGTAACATTATACTTTTGGAAAAAAATTGGATTTTCTGCATATTTTATGAAAAAAAAATGAAAACTAACGAAAAAACTTGTAGAAAACATGCCGAAAATAACATGGAATTTTCAGAAAAAGAGGATTTTTAGCATTTTTTTAGAAATGAAAATTACGAAAACAACTTTAGAAGATAACACTAGACTCCCAAAAATTAGATTTTCTGCATATTTTCCTTACGAAAGGAAAATTGACAAGAAAATAGCCTTCTAATGTAACAAGAACAAATTTTCTATATGTTTTCTAAGTATTTCCCGAAAAAAAAAAAAAAAAAAAACATAACAATAAACTTTAGAAAATAGGTAGAAAATGGTATTATTGATAGGATTTTTGTTGGTGCTATGATTGTTTTTATTAAGTTGTCATTTTTGTTTTGAACATTGGAATGAATAATAGCAAACGCACGTTATTTTTAGAGTAACTATCTTTCAAAAGAAGTCGTGTGAAAGATTTGGATTGTACCGTTCTTTAGTGAGGGTTAATGGAATTCAATTTTGTTATTTTATTACCAAAAGAACAAAATTCCATCATTACATATATTGAAAAAAAGGGTAAAATTACAAAAAATAACCATTTATATGTTGCTAAATTGGAAGTAACTTGCTATTACAATATAAAATTAATTTATTTTGATAAAGTCTATTGAAAATTTTCAATTTGAATTCCAATAAACTAACACAACTATGTGGTGCAGTCTTATGCAACTCATGTATATATTAGGAAAGAGGTTAAGCTTGTTATCCTATACTATGAAATTTTCTATAGTTTGGAAAAATGACTTCCAACCAAATGAATCATCACTTTGGATACACTTTTTAACACCACTTTCGACATGAAAACAACACCAATGTTTTGACCAGAATGCAAGCATCTATGAGCACCATTCTTAAGCCTGTTGAAAGTGAGTTTTGAAATAAACTAGAATGCAAGCACGTTTCTATAGAAAACTCCACCCAAGTTAAACACTTTTAATGAATGTATATTGCTATTGTTCTATCTTGCATTTATCCTATTTATCAATGTATTTGAGTATTCTAGCATTTGAATTTTATTTCACAACATTGTATTAATTTCAATTTATTTTATCTTATTTCGGTATTGTTAGTAAAAGGAAATACCGGTCGTAAAATATTAAAATTTTAAAGTATACATTAATATTTAATATTTGTTTATTGATAATTGTTTAGATGTATTACCTATTTGTGCACATTAGCTAATCGTCTTTAGAAATTAATTTTTTTAAAAAAATATTTACCGTCGCTTGGTACGGATAAACAACAAATATAAATATATATATATATATATATATATATATATATATATATATATATATATATATATATATATATATATAACGATTGAATTCAAAAGAATATTAAAAAAATAAAAAATACAAGTATGAAAAACTCATATTCTAGTTTTTCAATTTTATATGCTAGAAGAAAATAAATAGGCAAGGATATTGATTATTCCATAATACTTTTTCATCTATCCATGGCATTTTATAGTTAATTGACATATTTGTCCCTTGTTTAAATAGATAGTATATTTTAATATTTAATTGTTTATTCATGGAAAATGGATCATGTTTCCTTTTTGAACGAGGACCGGCAACAAATGCGCATTGAACTAGTAACTATCTAAGATACTATTTAGTGGTGTCACCGTAGTCCTTTCTTTGTCACATAAATGCCACGTTATTTTTACCATAAAGTGTGGTTTTTTGTCACACCTAAAGAGTGGTGTCATACTTTATTTAAAAAAATAAATAAATAAAAACTTTAATTTCTCCCACCCAATCACAAAACAGTCAAATTATCTACACCCAATCACAAACCGTGACCATTTTTTGCCGCACTGCGGTTTGAACCGCACCCAGGGGGCGGTGTTCGCTGCTTATGTGGCGAAACCGCACTCCCTGAAACCGCACCGCACCCTCAAGCCTTACATCTTCCAATGAAGGGGCTCTTCGACAACCACGTTCTCCATTTCCGGTGCTGGAAACTGATCACATACATGCTGAAAATCTTCAAAGGTCTTAAATTTTAGGAATTGGGTTTCGTCGATGATTGATATAGGATGCATTTTGAACATGTTGAGTTTTTCATATTAGACACTTATATTTCTATTGTTGATGTGAAAAGCTTATTGTTGATTCTTATGTAATAATTTGAGTAAATTACACGAATGGTTCCTATGGTTTGGGATTATTTGCGTGCTTGATCCGTAACTTATTTTTTAAACTCGGAAAGTCCCTAATGTTTGTTTTTGTTACACGCTTGGTCTCTACTATTTGTTTTTGTTACGCGATTGGTCCCTGTCTTATCTAAAAAAACTATTATTTAAATAGGAAAAAATTGTAGGATAGGTAGGATAAAGTGAGGGGGTTGGGTTTGAGGTGTGTTTATTTAAATATTTTAAAAAATCAGGGCTAAAATAGTTTTTTTAGGTAAGCCAGGGAAACAGTAAGAACCTTCAAAGTTAAAAAAATAAGTTAGGAATCAAACAAGCAAAATACTATAAACCATAGGGATCAGTCGTCTAATTTACTCTAATAATTTATTGAAGAAAAATATATAAACAGTTTATAGTTAAAAGAGCAATATGGGTACTGATTCTCAAGTAGCAATGATACTATTTTCGTCTTCCAATGGAGTGATAACTTGTTATTATCATTGCAGAATCTATTAAGGTTTCATACTATACGTGAAGATTATAGTTCGATACACACAGAATCATACGTGTGAAGGTTATCTTGGGATCTTTTGGAAACAAATCGCTGAAAATTACCAGAGGAGGAAGATCGCAGTGCTGAAGGAGGAAGAAGGAAACAAATCAATGCCTCAACTAAATACACTAATTAAATTACATTATCTATTAATGAGGGGTATATATGTCCATTAACTATAAAATGCCATGGACGAATAAGAAAATTATGTGGAATCGGCAAACGTTCAAATAGCGAATCAAACCAAAAGTCGGCCCATCCAAACAAGAACACTAATTCGAAAATGGCAAAATGCGAAGCGATCATCTCTACGCCTCTCTATTAATCCAGCTCATAAAACATACAAAAGTTTCCAATATTCTCCTAGAACCAATCATCAAAACAAGAAAAAAAAAACAATGGTTTCTCTCAAACCACTGCTAATTTTGCTACTAACGTTCATCTCTCATGGAGTTTCCAAGAATACTCCCCAGCAAAAGCAACAATCGTCTACAGGTATATTGGGTTTACCATTTTCATTTTTGTTTTTGGTCGTCGTATTTTATATTAAGGTTGTTTGTTATTGAACTGTTCCGGTGTTCGTAGGGGTGATCGGTGGCGGTTATGGTGTTTTTCCGGTGAGGATCGGGAGGTCTGTTCTTGAAGGGGAAAGTGATGATGAGAATTCTTCTTTGATTTTGGCTGAAGAGAGAACGAGGAGGAAAGACCCAACGAAAGGTTTAGAGTATTATACCGGTGGATGGAATATCAGTGACGCTCATTACTTCTATGTAAACTTTCTACCCAGTTCGCTGTTTATTTAGAAACGTCTTTTTTTAGTCCTTCAATTTTGACTTTTGGAGTCAACCCAATTGAACTTCAAATTCAAACCTTGAAACAGGTTCTTCGGTGTTTATAGCTTTGACTACATTTTAAACCTCACTTTTTGATCGGTTATTCTTAACCTTTTTAGCAATGAGATCTTTATACTTGTGCAGTCTGTATCATTTAGCGCTATCCCTGTGTTTGTGATTGCTGCAATCTGGTTTGTGGGATTTGGAATGTCCTTACTCGTAATCTGTTGCTATTACTCTTGCTTCCGGAGAATCCATTACAGCTATTCTAGAATCGCTTATGTCCTCTCTCTCGCCTTCCTCACCCTCTTCACTATTGCTGCCATGTAAGCAACTCTCAACTCCTGTTCGTTGTTACGCACTGTCACTTGTGCAAAAGACATGAATGAATGCGCTTCTTTTGTGGGTGTAAATATAATCGTAATTTGTTTCAGAATCGGATGTGTGGTGCTTTACACGGGGCAAGGGAAGTTTCATAAGAGTACATCGGACACATTGGAATTTGTTGTGAGGGAGTCTAAAGATACAGTTCATAAGCTCACCGATGTGTTGGATATTCTTGATACAGCAAAGGGTATTGGAGTAGATCAAGTTTCTTTACCTGCGAATATCAAGAACAACATTGACAGGGTCGATGAAATGATAAATGCAGCTGCTACAGACCTTGATTCCGAGACCGAAGAGAACGAAAAAGATATACAGGATGTTTTGAACTCTGTGTATGTAAATATGTTACAACGATTTCTTTCAACAACATATACAATTAGACTCGTATGTTAAAAGTTATCATTTTTTCTGCAGGAGGCTCTCTCTTATAATTATCGCTGCTGTTATGCTTCTCGTAGCTCTTCTTGGTTTTTGTAAGCCTAAAGATCCTATCTTTTTCATGATTCTAAGCGTGTTTTATAGTTTTTCTTGGTTTTTAGGCCTAAAGATTTGATCTTCTAGAGATTTTATGTTTAAACGATTCCAATTTTTGAAGATTTAAAATTAAATTTGCTTATCAACTATTGGTTGCAGTGTTCTCCATTTTCGGCTTCCAGGTTCTCGTTTACATGTGAGTGGTGATCACGTGTGTGTGTTTTACGTGATGAATTCATTTCTTGATCATAATTTCCGCTTCTATGGTTGCAGATTGGTGGTCTGCGGTTGGATTCTTGTTACAGCTACGTTTATATTGTGTGGCATATTTCTCACACTTCACAAGTGCGTTTTAACAATCTTCTCAATTGCTAGAATAACTACATTCCATCTCCCATTAATCTAACAAAACGATTACTATTCATGTTGGTAGTGTTATGGGCGACACTTGTGTTGCAATGGATGAATGGATTCAGAACCCTACTGCTCATACGGCATTAGACGAGATACTTCCATGTGTCGACAATGAAACTGCTCAAGAAACCCTGTTTCAGAGCAAAGATGTGACTTTCCAATTGGTGGGAATGGTCAATATGATCATCGTCAAGGTAGCAAACATCGATCCACCACCCTTTCCTGGTTTCCTCGGTTACAATCAATCAGGCCCGTTGGTTCCCATCCTCTGTAACCCGCTAAACGCTGATCAAACTGATCGGAAATGTCAAGCTGGTGAATTGGACGCCGGTGATGCCAGCCAGGTATGTTTTATCGAGTTTCCCAATGCAATTTTGACTTTTGAGTCAAACTATCTCTCAATTTTGACTTGGTGTTGTATATCTTCATATAATCTTATCAATCATGAATCTATTAAGTCATGGGTTTGACTTAATTTGGAAGTCAACTGAAGCATATATATAAATGGTGTTTTGTTTATAGGTATGGAAGGATTATGTATGCCAAGTGTCAGAAAAAGATATATGCACAAATGTGGGGAGGTTGACTCCAAAGATGTATGACCAGATGTCGGCTGCAGCCAATGTAATCTCGGGGTTGTCAAACTATGGACCGTTTTTAGCCGGTTTACTAAATTGTACTTTTGTTAGGGAGACATTCACAGGAATCCATGAGGATCATTGTCCAGGATTGACTAAATATAGTCGGTGGGTGTATATTGGATTAGCTATGGTGTCTGCTGCTGTGATGCATTCGTTGGTGTTATGGGTGTTGTATGCTCGAGAAAGAAGGCATCGAAAGTATACCAAGCTTGGGGTTCCTGCATCAACACAAAGTTCATTTGCAAAATGAAATAAGTGTAAAAGAGTGAAAGTATAGAATTGGAATTATGTTTAGAAGAGTTAAAATTTTTGATATTTTGACACGAGTTCCCCGATATATTTGAATGGCAAATTTTATTCAAAATATTAGAAAGATGTAGCGATGTTATGCCGAACCGAGCCGAACCCGAAAACCAAATAAGAGTAATTGCATGAACCGAAAACCGAACCGATTAACCGATACGGGTTTCGTTCGGTTTGGGTATTAATCGGTTCGGTTATTACCCGAATAACCTGAATAACATGTACAAAATGATTAATAACCTAATATAATCGAAAAACAAAACCCGAATAAACGTAGGATTCTATAACCCGGATGATAGAATAATAATGTACTTTTATACGTCAACTTAAAACATTCAAAGACTAAATAACACAATAACAAATTGAAAGATTAACACTTACATAGTAGATTAATATAATGAGAATTAATTTCTTAATTGAGTTTCATGAGTTAGAACCCAGTTTTCCATGAGTAAACAAAGTAGAAATTCATGAATCCTTAGAGACAATAGAAATAGTCGTTTTGAAAGTTTGAAACAAAAAGAAGGATTGACAAAAGTGATTTCGAGTTTGGAAATAAATGAGAAGACTGGTTGATTTTGAAACGACAAGAACAAGTGTAGGTTTTTTTTTTAATGAACGACGAGGACAAAAATATGAATCATAATTTTGATTTCTATCGATTAGAGAAAGGGAAGAAGGAATGCTTATTCGGGTCGGTTATCTAGAACCGAATAAACTCTTATTTGGATAACCCGAACCGAATAAGCATAATATATATACCCGAAACCCGAATCGAATTGCTTATTCGGGCCTAATTCGGTTCGGATTTCGGACCCAATTCTCATCCCTAGAAAGATGTTAGAAAATATTGCAACGATAAAAAAAAATATATAAAATTCTAACCACGAAACTAATCAATCACCACTCACCACCGAACAAGATGCAAACACAAAATAGAATCTGCATCTACTCCTCTCATTTGGAGGCAATAGATCAAGAAAAATATGTTATCCCAAAACATCCACTTATCTTAATTGTTAGTTTGAGAAAACTAGCCAACACTTCCATTGCTTAAACTCCCTTTGTTTCTCGAAACCACATCCATATGTGAGAACCATTGTTTAACCAAGAGGAAACCTTGCAAGCTGTATCCAATTCTAACATATACAATCTATGATATCGATGACGTAACAAAATATCTAATTTTCATTCCAAAAAACATGTTCGAATTTCGCAATCCAACCTTTTTTAAAGTACACCTTCAAGTCTATACAAACAATCAACAATATCTTTCCGGACTCCTTGAAATTTAAGCTATATAGATCACAAGACCGAGTCTCCAAGTACGAATTTTAAGAGAATTAATTGACCATAAGTAAAACCTTCACATTCTAAGAAGAAATATATTTCAAAAGACATCAATAATATATGTGTTTAACTTTCAATCTTCTACATGCTATAAGGCTGATAGGTGTGGGCAATGTTTTTAGAGAAAAAGAAGGAAACAACGTCGGGAAGCAACGTGCAGGCATATAACGCCCAAAAACGGTGAAAGAGGGCGATGTTTGTGCGTTATAACTCATAAAAACACCCAAAAATGCCCCGATGGACGTTACCCATACCAAACAGTCGAACCAACCAGAATGTCAAGCAAGATGTTAAAGGGAAAGTTTTTCACTTTGTAACCCAGTAAGCCATAAAATATTATGTGAAAATTTTTAAAATCATCTTTTTTGAAGTCGGATTAACATAAGATTTTTTTCTAGCATGTAGCTAGAGTAGAGTTTGTTCTTCAATTTAGCCTATAATATCATTTTTTTTGGTTTCATATTTAATGAGTTAAATCATTCAAAATTGGGATATCAAAGTTGAAAATTTCCAGCTTTAATATATATATATATACGTGAAACTTTAAAAACTGAATAAGTCATTCGTTTGAAACTGGATTATACATGAGGTCTATTCGAGTATGTAGTTTATGTGTACTATGTCATTCATTTGAAGTTGGATTAACATGAGATCTATTCGAGCATGTAGTTTAGAGTTTGTACTTCATTTTAAGCTATAAATTCATTATTTTTTGTTCCATATTCAATGAGTTATGCCACGTCGAAGTCGGAATATCAAAGTTGATAGTTTGCAGCTTATATGATTTCTCCTTATGTATTTGTTTTAAGCTAATAATACCATTTTCCCTAAAAACTTTCTTACCGCTTCAACTACTTGTACCATACTTAACAAATTTTGTACTGGTTTACAGGTTCAAGAACCAAAAAACGGATACTGGCACTAACACTGGTATGTCTCGATAGGTCCATTCCACGGTCCACATAATCCTTTCAACCCGGTTCGGTTATGGAAACTGATTCTAATACGGTCCGGTCCAAATAATCATCTTAGGTAAGATAACCAATACGACCGGATTGGTTTTAGTGGTTTGTTTCAGTTTCTGGTTAACATCCTAATTTGTTGTTGCACTATTAATTTATTATCGTTTGAAGTTGAATTTTAGTCGCTTCCCTCCATAAATGACTCAACTCCACATCAATGTAGTATTTATTTCTAGAAGTATATTATCTCGGAATATTTTGTTTGGATTTAATAATCCCTAAAAACTACAAAAAGACAAAAAATATCAAACCGACTGTGAAACTACGTGGAATGACTAGGCACATCGTATGGGTATCATGTGTGGGAGTTAGGCGAGACGGGCCTACAACTTTCGGTTTTCTTTTGCTTTTCTCCTTATGCCATCTCTCTAATTAACATTTTAAAATAGTTATGGGCTCATACTAAAAGTATACTAGTCAATTAATTTATATAAACATATTTTTAATAAAATAATATAACAAACTCAACACTCCATATGAGATCTATTGAGAATGACAATTTCCTAATAAGAATGCTCTAATAAATAAGATAATTCATTGTATAAATTGATAGGATGATGAAAATACATTATCTTTTCTACAGTTAACTTTATTAAATTATGAAAATATATTATATGTTTTAGGCTAAGTGTGTGACCGACTGACCTTATGATTAATCCTAAAAATACAGCCTACTTCGCTACAGTTCATAATTTGGCCATCATATTCAAAAATCATCAATAAAATGTTTGAAAGCTGTAAAAAGTTATAATCATATGATAATATGGCTAAACTTGATTGTCATTATTCAAAAAATTTCGGTTATGATCAAACACAAAATAACAAAAATAACATTCAACGAGACCATAATTAACTCAAAATAAAACATAAAAAACATCTTAATTTTTTTTAGTGGTTTTCAAAACTTTGATAAACATAAAAGTTATATAAAAATTTATGGATATTACCCATTGAAACATGTATTTCCTCCAACAATAGACACCTCTTAATTCTAAAAAAGAAAAGGGATTTTTTTTTTCGTTTTCGGTCACATAAAAAGTAGAAGATTGCATAAATGAAAGAATGATCTCTTAGAAATAAAAATTTGAAATATGGGTAGGAATTGTAAATTCGCATTTCAAGAAGGTAACTTTTTTACTTTTAGCATCTATTTTCGCATCAAAAAAACTTTTAAATTTTGAAAAGCCATTGAATAAGTTTTCTTTGAAAAACTTCTAAGTTTATAAATTCTTACCATTATTTTCGTTACGATTGTGGTGGGTCTGATATATTTTCAATCGAGAATCTATACAAACCATAATAATGTTTATATTAATTGTCCCCTTATCTTATATAATTGGATCCATATATGAAATGTCGGATCCATAAATTATAGTTTTATCCAATGCAGACCCATCAGAACTTAAAATTAGATTAACCTTAATCAGTTGACATGCAAAATATGTCTCATTACAATTTTTCACCAACCTTAAAGGAAATGTATACGTCAAAGTAAGGTAATTAGCTACAGAAAGTTAATTCAAGTTAGAATTTAGATTGTTAGAAATAATAAACAATTAGATAAATTTACATTCCTCTTAAAAGTAAACTCTCTTACAACTCTATCTACTTTTGAAAATTATATTATTTTATTTTACAATTAGTTTATCTTACCATTATCAAGTCAAGTTTGTACCAAAGTTTTAACTTGATGCAAGTAATATTGGGATCGAGCCCTTTGAATTTGCTCAATCTTACATCAATTTGTAGAGTTACCATTTATGCATAGGGGGTAGTTTTGACATGAAATACAAAGTTGAAGGTTTTTCTGAAATAATCCCACGATGTAGGGGTAGTAGTTGTAAATCTGAGTCCTAATATTACGCGTTGAATAACAACCGAACCCGATCAATCAAATTGAAGTGCATGCACAGACACCCCAAAAAGTGATGGATTCTGGTCACATAAATTCATCATCGTCGACGTCGTCAAGGCGGACATGCCTCTGTTCTCCGACGAACCATCCGGGCTCATTCCGGTGCGCACGCCACCGCAGCTCGTCTCCTAAAGTAGGGAGAAAATTGATTGCGGAGCAATTAAATCGATTGGATATTAAGAAGACGAATCTGGTGAAAGAGTTTCTGTTGAAGATAATCAAACCGTCGAGTCATGATATCCAAAGGAGGAAGAATTTTGAGCCGAAGCCTTCCAGGTTCTCTGTTTTGGATCATTGCAGCCATGGCGGCAAGGAATTGGTTGTTTCCTAACTCATCCCAAATTTCATTATCTCTAATCCTGTAAATTAACTGATGCATGTTCGATGTAAACTTCGATCGTGTTTTTTTTATGTGAATTAACTGATGCATCTGGAATGATCCATCGACTATTAATCGCGCTGCTATCATTTCCTCGAATTTTCTCTCCTATTAGAAATATTCAATACCTTATTTCCTTTGGGAATCAGAGGTAGTTTGATATATATAAATTATCTTGAATGATTTCACTTTTAAGAAGCTGCATCAACCTATTAAAAATTCAATTAATCGTTAGAAATGATTGCAGAATATCCGTCTGTGTTCTAATTACGCATCAATTATGATTTAATGTGGGTTCATAAGCAATTATGAATTATATCCTGTGATTACATTCATCTCGTGAATCGATGATATTAAATGGATACATAATATCAGAGATGA